CAGCTGGAAGAGGAGGTGCTGTTCCATCATCAGGTGAGCGTCCCTGGAGGCGCCCTCTGGTCTCCATGTGGGTCATCTGGGAGTATGGTTGATGTCCTCCAGCCGCAGCCTGTCCTCAGAGCCCGTGTGTCTGCACTGGAGACTGCGTTCGGGCAGAGGGCTGAGGGAGGTCTCCCTGACAGCAGAGGCATCTGCTTTTGACAGGCAGGCTGTCCTGTCGTGCTGTTTGAGAGTCGTGTCCATGAGCCCTGGGCTCCAGCTCTGGCTTTGCCATGTGGTGGCCTGGCTCTGTACTCTGCGTGGGAGCATCTGGAAGGAAGGGCGCTATACTACATACTCCAGAGTCCTTTCAGGTTTCCAGTCTGGAAGCCCGGTTGTTCGTGGGAAATACTTTTTTCCTCCTCAGTCACAGTTTTTATGAAGAGCCAGCAGTGCAGGCCTCCTTTGGTTCTTTGCTCTCCATCACCTAGGAGAGACTGGAATAAGCCAGCACTCCACCACTCCAGCCGGAGTACTTTCCTGACCTCTCAACACCAGCCCTTGCTTCACCTGCCCAGAGCTTTGAGAGCCCATGCTGGCTGGCTGGCTGTTCCTAGGGTCTGGCCTCCTCTTAGTCTCCAGATTTCTAATGGTTCTCAGTGGGTGTACACGATCACCCCACCTGCTGTTGCTCTTCTCTCTCAACATCCTAAGTCCTCACTTGATTTTCTTTTTGTTTAGGACCAATGTGACCAACGCCCAGCCACAGCAAACCACCATGCCATGGAGAGCATCCCTACCCAGGATTCCCAGCCTGACGACACTTCACCAGAGCTGCCCAGGAGGCGGGTCAAACACCAGGGTATCAGCTGGGACTGAGTTAGGCCACAGCACTGCTGGCTAGGGCCCGCTTCCCACTCCTCATCTCCAGGAGGCTAACCTGCACCACTGGTTGGCTTGCATGAGGGTCTCCTGGGGAACTGCTGAGGCTAAGTGGTCCCCACATGACCCCTAGCTGTCCTAAGGACAGATTTTCTAGGGTTACGGATTCAGAGACAGGTGTGAGTCACAGTGCTGAGGTGAGCTGTGGCTCCCGACTGCCGTGCTGTCTTCTGACTGGGCACGTGAACTGGTTCTGAAACTTCCCACCACAAAGCCAACTGCAAACTGCTTTTCAGAGTCTGCTGGCCTCCATTTGCTGCTCAGTTAGGATCGGGAAGTCGGCACAGAGTGGGGAGAGAGTACCTGTCTCCTGCGGGGTTGTTCGTGGGGAGCAGTTGTCTGTTGTCTGCCCCGGATCCAGCGCTAACAGCTAGAGTAGCCTTTCCTCTAAGCCAGTGCTGCCTCTCTTTCCAGGAGACCTGGCTTCAGGCTACATGGATGATGTCAAGCAGGAAGCAGCAAAAGGCTCCACCTACTCGCTGTCTCCCAGCAGAACCATGAACAACACGACTACCTGTAACCCAGTGTTGAACTCGGCATCAGGCCCCGGATCTGAGTGCCAGTCTAGCCCTCCTCGGGTGCTGAAGCTTAACAACTCGGACAGCCAGGACATCCGAGGGCGGAGTCGGGGCGGCCAGAATGGGCCTGCAGCCTCTGGGCATGCTCCAGTGATCCACTCTATTCGAAATCTCTATCCAGAAAACCTTGCGCCCTCTTTTCCTCATGGGCCCCCTGGGAGGTATGGAGCCAGGTAAGCGGCACCCCAGCGTGGAGCCGACTGTGGCTGAAGAGAGCCTGGGCAGGCAGTCGGGCTGGCGAGATGGCTGTGGGTAAAAGCCTGAGGACTTAAGTTTGGTCCTCAGACCCCACCGCAGGCAAACCAGGTCCACAGAGTTGTCCTCTGACCTCCACATCCACTGCACACACACAGACTAATTAATGCAGTGAGTTAAAAAGGGCTGTTCACACTGGCCCATCGTGGGCCACGTGCTCGCTCAGCTCGGGCTCTGTCTGGTCCCCCCACTTCTCCCCCCACTTCACTGGGGAGTCTGGATTTTGCCTGTGTTGCCCTCACATCTGCTGCGCACAGGGAGGGGAGGGCTTGCTGTGCTGGCGTCCCCGGCTCCAGTCCTCTGAGTCCCCACATCTTTTTCTGCAGTGGGAGGAGCGGAGGTGGTCGGAGCTCTCGGGTCGCCCCTGCAGCTGCCGGCTACCACAGCAGAGCTCCAAAGGTAACTGGAGCCCAAACGTTAGGCTCAGGGCCATGCAGACAGGGCTGGAGGGTTGTCAGTGGCTTCTTGTGAGGAGAGCTGGCTGGGAATTCTTTCTCTGCTTAGTCTTTCCTTTTGTGATTCAACAGGCAAAGCCTCCGAAGCAGCAGGGGGCAGGGGATGCTGAGGAGGAAGAGGAGGAGTAGTGAGGACCATGGGGCCCTTACCGCCCACCCTATCAAGAGCAGCACGTGCTAGTGCAGTGTCCAACTGCCCCTCAGGCTCATCAAGAGACTCCAGACTTTAATTTTCCCAGGTTAGGGCCGTTTTGTGTCTTTGCGATTGTGCTGTGGGTGTTTGGGTGTGAGGGGGGCTAGCTGGGAGGCCCTGCTGCTCCTCTTGGGCAGCAGTGAGATGAGTGCATCTGTGGCCCTCTGGGCCCCTAAGGGCTCCATCCTGAGACAGACATACCATCATCACTGCTTCTTGGTGCTTTGTGGTCCTGGTGGACAGAGGAGGGTTCTGGGAACCTCAGAGTTACCAGTGAAGCAGTTCTATCCCTGTGTGGGCCTAAGCTTGGGTTTACAGCATGTTAGAAACAAGTTGAGCTACAGGTCCATGGACTAGAGGCCACCTTGGTACTTGTGGGTCACCACCCTCTGTTCCTGATGGGAGTGTACTGTTTTGTTCTCGATGTCCCCACCAGGGCCACGCCTGCCTTTATGCCTCTCCCTCTCCTTTTTATTTTACTGTTCTAATTATCTATTTCCTTGTAATAGAAATAAAGTTTGTATTCAGAGCTCAGCTGAGGCTTGTGGTTCTTTCTACAGAGATGGTGGAGTATGCAGTCTCATTATATAGCCTAGGTTGGCTTTGAACTTGTAGGAAGACTGCAGGCACAGTTGAGGGATTGGGCTCTTTGTCAGGTCAGCATGGGTTCCTTCTCAGAGTGCCCAGAATCAAGGGGTCATGTTCTTTTTTTTCTCCCTAAGACGGTCTCATGTAGACCAGGCTGACCTCAAACTCTTGACTCTTCTGCCTGCCTGCCCTCACCTTAAGTGCTGACAGTTTCCTCCAAAATTTGCCCTTTGGAAGGAACTCAAGAGCTTCACTGCAGCTGTGGTAGGACGTGGGGCCTAGAAGAGAAGAAGGAGGCTTCTCAGGAGCCTGAGTCTTGGGCCTGCCATAGTGCTGCACACCAGTGGGAGGCTGAGGAAGGCTCAGGATTTGTCTCAAAGCAAACCCACAAAATCCTGAATCCCAGAGGGAGCCGGGCCTTGGAAGGACAACCAGTCCCGCTTCAGAAACTCCTGTAAATAGATGGGGCATGAGTGACCGTCACTTAGAGAAGGCTGTCCCCAGTGAGACACACTGCAGGCAGATGTGCCACTCACTCCGCCGTCCCTCAGACACCAGACTCACAAAGGGCGGGTAGCTCACCAAAGCTCTCCTCAGGTGACAGGCTTCAGTGTCACCGCTGTCTTCTTGGGACATCAAAGAGGCGTCACGAAGGGTCTGGGGCAACCTGGGCCTCTCCCCTGGTCAGGCTAGAGCACAGGCCTGCCAGGAAGTAGAACTCTGACCCCACAGGATGTTGTGTGGGTGTGGTTGGTTTGTCACCTGCTGTCCCGAATGACACTTTTAAAAAATACACATGTAACTAAAGCAAGCTGAGGACAGCTCCGAGTAGATTCGAGTTCCCTGTATTCTTAGGAGTCTGCCCTTGATCTCAGCCATCCTGGTGTTCCCAGCCCTTCTTTTGACACTTCTTGTTCAAACTGTTATGTAGCCTTAGTGTCAGTCATACACCCTTGTTTAATTTTTTTAAATTAGTGTATATTAGTTGTAGGAGATGAATTTCATTATGACTTTCATACATAAGATGTACATTTTGTGTGAGGCTGAATCAGTAGTCCTCGCTGGCCTGGAATTCACTGTGGAGATGAGACTGGCCTTGAACTTGTGGCAATCCTTGCCCTCCTGGGTGCTGATACAAGTAGTACCCATGCCCTGCCATATAATGAACTCTGATCATAGTTACACCCCTGTTATTTCTCTCTTTCTGGGGATGGTGGTGTGAGAGACAGGGCCTCATGTAGCCCAGGCTGGCCTTGAGCTTTCTTTCTTCCTCCTCAGTGCACCACCATGCCTCTCCCCACTTGAGCTCTTAGACCTTGGCTGGTGCACGTTGATTGGACGCCTGTCCCAGTTGTCTGTCTGCCCCAGTTGTTTATGTAGCGTGTAAACCTGGCTCCTGCAGTTTGGCTTGGCTAGGGTTAGAATTTTCTAGGTTACAAGGTCTCCAGACTGACACAAAGCTGCTTTTCTCCCGGGAAGCTCTGCATTCTAGGATTGGAAGTCCATCCTCTATGTGGCCTGTGCTGCTTCCATCTAGAGCGCCCCCTGCTGGAGCTTTCTGGACTCTCGTAGGCAGTGTTCGTCCAGAACCCCAGCGACTGCCACACGCCTGGACTGATCCTAAGGATTTTTGTGTCCCTTTGTCTTTCTGTCCCTTTTGTCTTTTCCCTTAAGCTGCTTTGATGCCAATCTTCAGAGCCTGTCTTCTGTCCCCTCAGGTCTGTTCTGGATGTCTTGTGTCTGTTGTCTACTTCCTGCTTAGACTCTCACTCACCACGGCAGGATGGGCAGCCTTCACTATGACTATCAGCAGGCATTTGCCCAGAAGCCTGTACTTTGCAGGTCTTTCTTTTAGGACAGTTGAAAGCCCCACCCCCCATCTACTTGAAGTTCTGTTGTTTTCTCCTGGTACAGACAGACACACACACACACACACACACACACACACACACACACACACACACCCTTTCTTTTTCTTTCTCTTTTTTTGAGACAGTTTCTCTACATAGCCCTGGCTGTCTGGGAACTCAAGAGGGATCCGCCTGCCTCTGCCTCTCAAGTGCTGGGATTAAAGGTATGAGCCACTTTGCCTGGCCACATTTCTTTTTAAAACTGAAACAGAAAACAGCCTGAGTCCTATGAATATTTCCTTCCGCTCAGTCATTTCCATGAGCTGGCCTTTTCAGAAATTGTGAGTTAAGACCAACCACTCAGATTTTTCATTGTTCTGTACAGCAGATGTGTGCCCCGGTTCCCTGTCTTTCGATCCTCATAGTGGAGTCTCCCTGCAGGAAGGCCTGTGCACACCCCGCACAGGCTTCTTTCTGGGACCAGTGCCTCTGACGTTTGAGGTGTTGCAGGTGGCTTGCTTCATTTTGCTCTTGCAGACCTCACCTTGCTCACTGGGCTGTTGTTTGTGGAGTCTCTCAAGTGGGTCTTGATGAACACGCATCCCTCCCTACTGGTTTTCCACCCAGTAGAGCTGCTGTGGATCCATGGTGCAAAGCCCCTAAAACCTTCGGGGCCACACTGCATGGCCGACCACGCAGGTATCTCCACCCTTGGGTGCTGCAGAGTGCCTCTGTGTCCCAGCAATCCTCTCCTGCTGGGGGCATCTCCGGCACTGGGTGAGGAGCCTTCTGACTGTGCTTGTGAGATGCTGCAGGGCGGGGAGTCCTCGCTGTGCCCGAGTGTGAGCAGAGCAGTGAGTGTGTGCGCACTGCCTTGGGCTGTTTCCAGTGACAGGACAGGAAGGATCAGCTGCTTGGCTGGCACCCACCTGGGTCCTTTCTGTCCCAGTGATGAAGATGGATTTAGCATCTGGGTGAGGAGGACATGGAGCAGCAGGAGGGGACAAGCAGGTCTAGATGCCACTCCGAGGAGGACTGTGAAACAGCCAAACACTTCCGGAGGAACAGAGGCTCCAGAGCGCAGAGGAGCTGTCAGGGCAGAGCAGGTAGCACATGCAGGGCCAGGCTGAGCTTGGACTGTGGCTCTCCCTTTCCATGTGGAAAGCGCAGACCGAGGGGTTTCGTGGGATAGGAAGAGGCTGTTCATAAGCTAATGGAATAGGAATCACACCAAGTGCAGAGAGACCCTGCTAACTACAAATGTTAACTCCTAGTCACTTGTGACTAAATTAGGGATCAGAGCCATCTAGCAGTGCCGGCCTGTGAGCTTACTCAGCAAGAGGACATGATCACACACTCTTAGGATCAATGAGTTAGATGAAGGTTATTTATTGGTGTGACTTTTTTCTGTAGTGAGCTTCCTTTACACAGCATAGTGTAAATAGCATCAGACTGAATGGGAAGTCTGTCAATGCAATCATAAATAATTATAATAAATATACATCAAGTAACTTTACAGCGCACATTGTTCAGGGCCAAGGCTGGGATCTGTCTGGACCTCAGTATGCTCTCTAGGAGAAGCAGCTGAGTTAGCAGCAGATATCTCACTCACAGCTCTCATCTAATCAAGGAATGGGCCAACAGAAGCTTCCAGAACCCCTCCTGGGGAGGTAGCTGACAGAATCCCAAGTCCATTCATGGGAAGAGGATTGAAGGGAACCAAGAATTTGAAGGTACGGGGATGAAAACCCACTTTAGTAAACTCAGAGGCTCCTTCCTTCTGTAGAATGGAGTCAGGATCCTTGAGGTCGCTGGGGTGGTCCCAAGCAGCGGCCACTATCTTCTGTGGGATCAGGGCTTGCTCGGGCACTCACCTCCAAGTGAGTGCTGCAGCCCAGTGACTGGCGTAGCCGTCAAACTGAGCTGGGTGTATCTCTTCCTCTGGTGGGGTTGGGGGGGTGTCTTTTCTGTAATGGTCCTCAACGCATTTCCTAAGCGTACCAGAGAGGAGATGGATGCTGGCAGGCCAGCCCTAAAGCTTGCACACCTTCCAGCAGGCCAGGTGCTGTGGAGAGAGGAGCGTACCCTCCTCAGGACTTGTGTGTGCACAATATCATACAATAGTTACAGCACTGCCATTCTGGGACAACTGGCAAGGCCCAAATGACAGTGTCCAACAGGTGGCATGTGCTGTTCTGAACAAAGTACCATTGGACAAAGACTTATTTGGGGCGCGGATGCACTGGGGTAGGGGTGAGTCTGCAGGCAGCTTAGCCCTGGTGTACACACACTTGGGGTGTGACGGGTGCTGGGCAGGCCAGCCAGGACACAGAGGAATCCCCTGTAGTCTCCGTCTGGGTCATTGATGCAGCCCTCATTGGGCAGAGCACCTCAGACAGTCTTTAGAGATGAGTTGTAACCCTTCCCTGGGCTCCTTACAGCACTGTGCTGAGGAAGGGCCGTCTGAGCACAGAGCAGAGCAGGCTTGAATCGTGTGCTTTCCTGTGCAGTTGTAGAAAAGGCCCATTCCACACTATCCCTCCAGCTCCGCTGTCTTCAGCTCCAGCCACCAGGAGGTACCCAACCTGTCTCATGAACTAAGGCCTGGAGTAGCCCCTGGGTATCTGCTCCTGAGGAGTCCTTAGGGGAAACTCAGCCCAGGGACCCAGAAGAGACAGGTGGCAGATAGGGCTGCCTGGACGGGAGGAGACAAGGGGCCTCTGTGGGTTTTTTCCTGGAAAAACAACAACAAACAAACAAAAACACCAAGGCCAGAAACGCACAGTAAAGCAGGAAGGTAACACGTGAGCTCCCTGTGTGTCTCCTGAGTGCTTGAGCACTGGCTCAACCACTTCAAGACGGAAGGAGGGACCTGCAGAAGGGGCCTCTGGGAGAGGCCAGCTCGGGGCAGCAGGGCAGGACTGGCCACACACATCTGTGGAGATACTCTGTAGAGAGCAGGACACTTCGTGTGGCTGAGGGCATCTCACCCCCACTTTTCCACTGGTGGCTCTGTGGTGAGGAACCAGTTGGAATCTTGTGGCATCAGAATCTGGTAGCCACTGAGGACAGTGTCCAGGAAGATCAAATTAGACACAAACTGTCTGAGCACTAAGCTACCCTACAAACGTACCACACACAGGCAGCAAAGGAACAGACCTCACGAAACGGACACAGACAAAAGGTGTCTTCCAGGTGGCCCTGGGACACGGACCAAAGTTCAGAAAAGCAAAGTATCGCCAGCTCCTCACTCGGGGCCCTGGAGGGATGTGCCTGCACTGGTAGGCTTCCCAAGCCGGCAGAATGGTGCCTTGGTGATAGCCTAATCTTCCGGTTCACTCCCATCAGCCACTTAGGGGGTCTTCCCGGTAGTGGATGGCACAGCGCAGCTTCTCCAGCATGATCTCCAGGGAGGAGTACTGGGGAAGCTTGATCATGAACATGCAGGTCTCTACTCGGATGTAGCGCGAGTCTGGGGGACCTACAGAAGACACAACACCCACGTTAGAGCGCTGGAGACAGGCTGGCCTCTTGGGCACCCACTTGTGTATCTAGCAAGTGCTCTGTGTGTGTGTGTGTGTGTGTGTGTGTGTGTGTGTGTGTATAGTGTTCCACATGTCATCAGAGGATAACTTGCAGGAGTCGGTTCTCTCCACCATGTGGGACCCAGGGATAGAATTCAAGTCAGGCTTGAGCCATTTTTTTTTTTTTTTGGTTTTTCGAGACAGGGTTTCTCTGTGTAGCTTTGCGCCTTTCCTGGAACTCACTCTCTAGCCCAGGCTGGGCTCGAACTTGCAGAGATCCGCCTGGCTCTGCCTCCCAAGTGCTGGGATTAAAGGCGTGCGCCACCACCGCCCGGCAGGTTTGAGCCATCTTGCTGATCCCTGACCAGCCTGTCTTCCTTCTTTCCTTGCCTCCTTTCAAAATGTGGATTCCATGAGTCAAACTCCTACTTCCCTCATAAGTATGGTGGTAAAAATCCCCACCTGTCACACTAGGGGTTGATTCCCCACCAGGGAGGCAAAGTCAAGGTAATCCTTAACTATATAAGATGCTGTCAAAAAACAAAACAAAAAACAGAAATGATCTTTCTGCATTTCAAAGTTTAGAAACTAGGGGTGTGTCTCAGAGGTAGTCTCCCTAGCTCATGGGAGTCCCTGAATTTAATCTCTAGCAGAACTAAAAATAAAATAATGGTAAGACATTGACAAGCCATGGCTCCTTGGCTTCTTTTAAAATCCTGGATCCTGTGCAGCATCAGGACTGGATGGCAATGGAGCTCTCTAAGCCTCCCCGTTCACGTATGAGTCCTGGTGTGTGGGGTCCTGGTCACTGTTCTCCACAAGGACCTAAGGGTCCCATCTGAAACAGGAGCTGGGAAGAGCAATACCTGCTGTGCCATCTGGAGGGGCAATCTTCATGGGGTACGGTGGCACATGGGCTGTGTCAGGGCCCCCATCCTTGCAAGGGCAGGTGAAGGGGATGCGCTCCTGGTTGCAGGCGAACTTGATGAACTTGCATAGTTCCTCCTGGGTGAACGTCTCCAGAGCCCCCCAGAAGAGCTCGATGTGCTGATCTGTCTCCATTAGCCCGACCTGGTACATGGTGTGAGCCTGGGGAAGAAAGAGCCAGGCAGGTGGGGCACAGGTGGTGTGTGTGCCAGAGCACAGAGCAGCTGTGGCAAAGGCAGAGTGCTGAGCCCGGCCTGAGGGGCTGCCTACCTTCAGGAACTCTAGGTTGATGTATGGGAGGCCACAGGTACGCAATTCCATCTCCAGTGGGCTGAGGGTGGTGAGCAACTGCAGGGGGATGATAGAGCCCAGGCCAGCACGCACAGCTGTCACGCACTCCATGTTCTGGAGCTCCCGCAGCCGCAGGCTCCGGATGGCTGCTGCGTAGATATCCTTGTTCTCCCACCTGTTGGGTTGAAGGTCACCAGTGAGGGCTGGGGGGGTGGGGGGGTAGTGACGGCACAGCTCTTGGGCCCGAGGGCCACAACTACGTAGGCGGTTGAGCCCTGGCCTCATGGCTCACGTCCCTCCTCCAGAGCTGCTGCTGCCTTAAGGCCGTGGTTCTCAACCATGCTAACACTGCGACCCTTCAATACACTTCCTCATGGTGGTGACCCCTAACCATAACATTGTTTTCATTGCTACTTCTTAACTGTAATTTTGCTACTGTTTGTAGTGGGTAGCCATTCCAGCTTAGTTCTGGAAGTTCCAACCCCCATTGAGACTCTGGCAACTGTCACGCCTACGAGGCGGGGCGAGGGGAGACGCCTGGGGACCCGAGAGCTGGATGGGCCAGCGCTCTCTCTGGGCGCTCTCTCGGTGGCGGAACGCTGACCGGTGGACATTGACTGTGCAGAGCTCCGGAGAAAACCGCTGGACTGCATTACACCTTCCCCAGACCCTGCGACCTACCCATTACTACTGTTATGAATTGTAATGTAAATATTTGATATGCAGGATATCTGATATGTGACCTGTGTGAAAGGACCGCTTGACCTCCAATGGGGTCATGACCACAGGCCTTAAGGGAAGTCCTTAAGCTAAAGGCCATCTTTTCTTCGTGCCTAGTATTCTACCTCCTCTCTTACGCCCTCCCCTGAAACCCCCCCCTCACTGGTGTGGTTCACCCCTCCATGTCACACACTCACGCCACAGGGATGTGCCGACCATGGCTGCACAGCTCCACCTCCTCGCCAGTCATGGTCAGGTAGGTGAACCGGCAGCAGGGCTTGGGACCTTCAGGGCTCTCGGTGGCCAGGTGCTGGGAGGCGATCTCGGCGCACAAGGCCTCCAGCTCACTCTCGTCGTTGATCTGCAGGGCACAGGCAGGGTGACGCTGACTGCTGCTCTGCTGCCAGGTCCCCAGGCAGCGGAACACTGTCCTCCAGCTGGCCAACAGTGGCCAGAGTTCCCACTAGGACAGGGTTGTGCCTGCAGCAGAGGGCAGCTCTCTTCCCTGTGTGCATCTGATCCTTGCTGCCCACTCCCAGGGACTGCTGCCACTGCTGAGCAGTTGGAGGCAAGATCTTTTTTTTTTTTTTTTTTTTTTTTTTTAAAGATTTATTCATTAATGTACACAGTGCTCTGCCTGCATGTATGCCTTCAGGCCAGAAGAGGGCACTAGATCTCATTACAGATGGTTGTGAGCCACCATGTGGTTGCTGGGAATTGAACTCAGGACCTCTGGAAGAACAGCCAGTGCTCTTAACCTCTGAGCCATCTCTCCAGCCCCCATGGAGGCAAGATCTTGCTAAGCTGCCTTCCTTGGTAGCCCAGACAGCCCTTGAACTCACAATCCTCCCGACAGCCTCCCAAGCAACTAGGATTAAAGACCTACTCTAGACGCCTGGCCTAAGACTGATTGATTTATGTTTTTGGTGTGGTTTATTGTCTGGAACAGGGCCTCACTATGGCCTTGAATGTCCTGTGAAGATGGAGATGATCTTGAACTCGATTCTCTTGCTTCCACCTCCAAAGCACCAGGGGTCTGGCCTGTGCTTC